TATCTGCATTTCATCTAAAATCATTTTGAGAACCACCCAAGATCATGGCTGTGCACACATCTCACAATCTGGGAAGCACAACAACGAATGGTCAAGACTGGGCCTTTGCTGACGTGCGGCGTGACTCAGCTCTCCGCGAGGAAGGTTCTTATCCCAGACGGGCCTGGGCTCTGGCCACACTGTCACTGAGGGCTCCCACCAGAGGGCCTGTGTTTCCGTGGTCCCCTCTATCTGAAACGGTCCTCCTCCAAGTACCCACTCTGTTGCAGAATTCAGGTGTCTGCTCCATGTCCTCACGGTTTCTCTGACCACCCTGTACAATGTGCGAAGCCCTTCCTCACCACCAGACACTCTTCACAGCGCTAGTATTCACCCATTCACTTCTGTCTATCCCCATCAGACTACAGCATAATGGTGAGCTCTAGAAGAGCTGGGGCTTTGTTTCCCATAACATCCTAGTACCTGATGTCAATACTCAATATTTCCTCAGTGAATAAATGAATCCCCTCAATTGATCTGGAGGTCTTTCACATGTCTTTATTTCCTAGTGCCTGGTATCTAGTTGGTCCTCAGGCAGCGTATGATAATCACACTGGGGCTCTCTGCAGACTCTGCCCTTACCACAGGGAAGGGTCTTACCATGGATGCTGACCCACCACTCCCTCTTGAGTACACAGGATGCCACAAAGTGAACTCTACCCAGCCACAGCAGAAGTGCCTGGAGAGACCATAAGCTAGATGAACTGAGATCAACACCGAACTTATTATACACAGAGTAGGGCCAATTCGTGGTATGACTGGAGAATCCCAGGCTAGAAATCCCTCCAGTAAACCTATTAACAATTCCTAAGGTTTTTGCCATTATTGCTCATAACTTCAGATGCATCCAAGTATATATCTGAGAACCAGAGTAGATCTTGAGATAGTAGCTGATGTGCCTCTGCATGGTCACACAAGGCCAGCTCCAAGAGGAACAGGCTGAGCCCTGGAGCCCTTGGATAGAAGGAAAAACAGACCAGCCCTGCATCCTGCGCCAGTGAGGGCAGCCAATGTCAGGGCATAGGGTCCGTGGTGAGGACCGGCTCAAGCTGAGGCAAAGTTGAAGCAAACAGCCTCAGGAGGCTAGAGTGTTGAGGCATCTGATGCTAACATATGAGGCACTGAGCTGTGTTCCAAGACATCTGTCCTTCATCCTCGCCAGTGGCTAAGAGGACGTAAAGCCAGAATCTAGCCTACAGAGAAGGAGGGAGAAAAAAACTCCCAAGCCTAACGTAAGACTGGAATTAAAGGCAAAGTTGCCAGGCTGACTGGTAAGTGAGAATCACAGCAGAGACCCAGTCCCACAAACAGGGCCAGCACGGTGGAACAGGGAGTCCTGGGGCCCAGGAGTCACTCCCACCATGACTTAGGCTAAGTCCCACCAGCTGGTGGGACTAGGGCTGCCATAAACCTCTTTTCCAGACCCAGATTAGCTCAGGCACTAGGGAGAGCCTGTCAGCAGACAGGGCCCATGAGCAGTAGAAAGCCAAACAGGTAGGCACATGCTGCCTACATCCAGACTCAGCACTGTTCTCATCTCCTAAAAGACCGGACAGGAGCCCACAGACGATTGCCAGCTGATCTATTGTCTATTATGCGTCCTTGGCCAGCGACGGACACACTGTGAAGTGTCCCTTCAGCAGTGCCAAGCTGGATTAAGTAATTTTATTGCAAGAATTTCTCCTCTAAAATATAAGAGTCCTCACAGGGTGAGAAAAACACAAAATCAATTATGCATTAACATCTTAGACTTTTTTAAAAAAAAAAAACATAAATAGGAAGACCCATCAGCTAGGTAGGCTCTGAAAGAACCAAAGGTTTAATTAAGGTGTTTTTTTATTTTTTGGGATTTGCTGGGGGTAGAGTTTAAGAGACCGGAGAAGATTAAGATACAACTGGATTCTTTTCTAATAAAAAGCAACTAAGTAGGATCTATCATCAAATAGGGCCTGTAGAGGCAACTCAAAATTTACAAGTGAAACACAGAAATTAAACAAGCAAAGAGGAAACAAGGATTCTCTGAGAAGCCCAAAACAAGAACACTTTTTAATAAAATTAAATCAGCTCATTCTTGGCGAAGTTTCGGCCTTTTGATCAAAGAGAAAGCCATTCCTGCCCATTGGTTCTCAGACCTCCCAAGAGGAGACCACCAAATCTACACAAATTAATTAATAATGACAATGAAAATGAGCAAAAGATCAGACAAGGTTAACATATACACATAATACATAAGCACCACATCTTCCTACAGTTTAGTTCCTCAAAATTCAAAAATGCCTTTGTAAAAATTTAAATGGTCTTTTTAAAAGCTCATTAAAATTACTCTTACAACAATGGAGAAGCACGGGTTCCTGGGAAAGAGACCTCTGCGTCTGTCTGCATTTTTTCAGAAATATTAAATTGAAGGCATCTCAACTCTGACACTCCAGGATTTTCAAAAAAAAAAAAAACTTAGGTTTTCAATTAATTAACTCCCGATGAATTTTAGAATTAAAATATCACCATCAACTTAATTAAATACTGAAAGTTTAAGGTCCCAAATAAGAGAAGGCTGTTAAAATACATCATTTCCCAAATAATTAATTAATTAATTAATTTAAATTAAGTCTATCATTTCCTCCATCCCCTATTCTCTCACACACATTATATTTTTTATTTGTATCTTTATATATCTTGCTAAAACTTATGGTGTTGCAGATTTTCCATAAGTGGATTTTAAAAGTGATTTTTATGAGGGAGAAAACTACAAAGTGAAGAAGCGAATGATAAACTTCAAATTCAGGATTTACCAGTAAGTAGGGGTTGGGGCTGAGGTGGGGCTGGGAAGAAACACCCAGGGTCCTCAAAGGCAATGGTAATATATTTTTTTAAAACTGAGTGATGGGGAGACAGATGTTCACGGCACCATTATCCTCCGTACCTTACTTGTATTTTATAATCTTACTTAAAATACTCAATAATTAACAAAACTTACTTTAAAACTAAGTTTATGTTATTATCATTGCAGAAGGTATATAGAAACATATGTAAATCAAACTCTCTTCAAAACATTTTTCAATAGCCGTGTTACTCGGACAAAAAGTAAAACAAGAGTACTTAAAATTTGTACAGTAGCTAACCTATCCTTCCATTTGAACACTTCCACAGAACTAACAAATTAATATTTTTCATGCAGACACACTCAATTTTTTCTCACATTATACTGTTTCATTCTGCTTACTTTAAAAAACAAACTAGTTTTCCCTCAACTTCCGTGTAACTTTCACCATTTGGTAAAAAACATCATAATTTTTTCTTGTTCTCTAAATAAATCTGAAAAAATTAAAATGGGGTCACACCTCTATGAACAACATACAACAGGACTAGTTACATCACCCAAAATGATTGTAAAATTAAATGAAATATTTTGGTAGTAATGGGGTTTCGGTTCGCTTGTTTTGTTGTTTCCAACTATTTGGTGCCAAGAGGAATCTCTAAGTCAAATACCAGGAAAAGACACTGGATACCCTAATACTTCTCTTAATGTGTCCCCAGGTCTATGTTATTTATTCTGCTTTCAGTAAAGTGGTAGAAATGTCTTAGATACTTTAGTTTGGATTTGTTGACACACCTGAAGTATTTAATTTTGTAAGGACACTCGAACTTGAAAATTCCTGGGGCCCGGAAAGGATGGCTATTTTCAGTATTTCAAAAAGCCTAAAACACATTTACCTGTAATTCGGCCATGCTAGAAAATGAAAATGTGTTTGCTTTTTTCCCCTGGGATTTAACCAAGCTTTCCTAAGTGGTTACCTCACGCAGAGCAGATATTCAGACATACATCATTAATAAAAATAGGATTCATCATGATTAGTTAGTAACTGTGGTCTAAAAAATCATTCAAAATATGCAGTCCATGAAAAAGAAAACCCCAAAACAAAAACAAAATATGAGGTCCATGGGGCAAAAATAATGAAATTGGTCTTTTATTACCGGCATTTGTCTTTTAACCAGTTTTGTTGGTATTTTTAAAACTGCAACAACAAAGTCTGAGGACCACTGTCCTAGAGGAGTTCTAACTATCACTGCTTTCAAAATCTCCGGAAAATGTTGATTTCCTAACTGTTCCAAAATTTGCAAAGTCAACTTTCAATTTTTTATTTATTTTCTTTTTTAATTAATTTATTTTATTTTATTTATAGATTTTTTTTTTCAGGCAATTCAGTTCTCTGCTCCCCCAGCTTTGTAAAACAGTAAAAGTCATGGAGTTGTTAAGAGGGAAAATGTTTCACATCACATCTTCTTCCTGCTACAAGCCAGGCTGGTAGCACTGGGACTGTTTCTCTTCTCCATAGCTTCTAACTTTCTTTAAAATCAAAATGCGACCCTCCCCAAACTACTATTCTTGTAACAGTAAACGCTCTGGGTGTCTGAACAAAGACAAACTAAAAAAGACCGACTTTAAATCAATAACCTTTAAAAACTTACTTAACCAGCTTTCGAAATACTCCCCTTTGGCCATGCAGGATAGCCTAGGGAACAGGTGCAAGGCGTGCCTTCCTAGAGGCTGTCTCCTCCTTCATGAAGCTGACCTTTTCCAGCAGCTCCGGCACCCCACAAATCAGTTATCAGTAAGCCTAAAGCCTGCTTTCCCATCTGCACTTTCCAAATGGCTCCCAATGCCAAGCGCTGAGATATGACCTGGCTCTCAGATGAGAACATGCCTCCCAGGTGACTTGCCAAGTTTCCCTGGAAGCATTTTCTAAATGTATTCTCTGACCTCCCTCCTCACCCTCTCGATCATGGCTCATTCTCCCTTCCCTGCACTTCCTAATTCCACCTCCTCATCCTGCGCCTCCAACACTCTGTGCCTTCAGTCCAAACTCCTTACCCGCCCCCAGCCTAAAACCCCAACTTCACATCCAAAGGACACAGTCTCAACAATTTTGCACCTGGTTTGCAGTGATCTTTTTGAGGCCTACCTGCAGGCAGCTCAGTTATGGCTTCTTCCCTTGCCTTCTCCAGCTTCTCCCTAACCCAGGGAAATTCCTGCAAGGAATCTAGGAATGCATCAAATGCTTTAGGACCTCTGGAAGGTAGGATATCCAGCAGCAGCATTGTTTTCCGGAGGCCTGTGGCTTGAGCTTTGATTTCTTGAACATGGTTTTCTGTCAGGACCCCTTCCTGGTAAAGATACTGAAGAACCAGTCCCTCCACCAGTACCTCCGCACCCAGCTCCAGGCGAAGGGAGCGAAGCACTTGCTTGTCTCTAGCCTCCATTTCTTCCTGGGAGAAGACAAAATAGTAGCTCAGATTACAGGGAGCTCACCCAGCCCTAAAGACAGTGTCCTACATGCGGTGCAAGCTCCTTAAGGTCAGGTACAACTTGGAACCTTAGCAGAGTGCCAGGCCATGGTGTTTGGTACACAGCTGTTAAGCCAAAGCAAAGTAGTTTTGAATGTTTCCGAACATAATGCACAACGCTGAATACGAATCATCTTTTCTATTTTCGCTTTTTCCACACAATGGAAAAAGCTCCACTCCTTGCTTGATAAATAGGTTTGGAAAAAACTGGGCCATGGACCCTGCTTAAAAAGCAACTTTGATCTGAAAATTACAGAGCAGCTTTTCATTTTAACGTACTTAAAAAGAAACAGTGGCTTTATTTTAACATAGCCTTCATCAGATATACCCCAATACCAGGGAAACTGCCAATAAAGCATGCAGGTGCCCTTCTGACCATGGGCATTTGCTGAACCCGCATAGCAATGGGAGTGGACGCCAGAAACCGGTAGGTACCACTAAGTTAAGGTTCTTTTCCCCTAAGAGAAAAGCCCTATACACTATCACCTCCAAGAAAAATATTTATTGTGTGTGCCTCTACAATAAACCTTATATATGGTCATAGACTCCACCCCAGCCCTCTAAGAATTCCGAAACTCTATCACAACACTGCCCGGACCACACATGTATGGGACATTTAGTGGGGATTTTTTTTTTTTCTTTACAAGGCAAAAATGTCCACACGCCAGCCCTGGTCAGTAGCCACGCACGATTTTAAGGCCTGTTTTCAAGACCACTGCCCGAGTTTGAGGGCGCTTGTGCGGAGGATATGAAGGTAAAGAAGCGGCGGGGAGTGGGGGGGAGGCGGCAGATGGGGCTTCCAGGCACCCACAGAAAGTACAACCGGCCGGCGACCCGACCCCACTCCTTCGAGCAGCCCTCGGGGAAGTCCGGGAGGTGGCAGGTGAGGGGAAGGGTGTGCACTTTTGGCTGCCAACGCCCATTTGGAGCTTTTTATTCCCTGCCTCGCCAGCTGAAGTCCTGTTGTGTTACGAACAGGAAGAACTAGGAGGAATTTTCGGGGCACTCTGACAAGCTAAAAAGTGGGTGCTGGGAATGATCCTCAGAGCGGACTGAAGGGGTAGCGGCCCCCGGCATCCCTACCGCCACCCCAACCCGGGCCCGGCTCGGAACTGCCGCGAACAAATTAGGGGGGGCGGGGAGCCACGCAGGGCCCAGGCCACAGACTCCACCGTGCGGGGCCTTCGAGAAAAAAATGGATACGGGGTTTCTGATTTCCTGTTACTTACGTCTGCAAACACGTATATTAAAAAAAAAAGAAAGAAAGAAAGAAACCGCAACCGGAATCCAGACTGTTAGGGAACCTGTACCATAAGCACCATCTTTGTTGAAGGCAAAAGCCCTGAACAGGAAGTGTTGTCTCCATCTTTCTTAAGGGCAAACACAGGAAGTGCTGTAGCCGTCATTATTGGGGGGAGGGGACAAGTGTCGGACTGAAGCCTTTTCCGCCATGTTTGCTGTGGGTAAACAATAAAGCGGCCTGGAGATGGAAAAGAGCATCACTTAGGGTGTTACCTAAGGAAAGTAGTATTTTAACACAGGAACTCCACAGTCTTGCACACAACTGACATAATAGATGGTTAGGTCTCAAAAGTCACCTTATCAGCGTAGCCTTCCATGACCACTATTTAAAATTGCAACATTCATCTCCTGCACTCCCCATCCATCCCTTTTCCAACTTCGTTTTTATCTGTAGCACGTACACCATCCTATTAAAACTTTTACTTAATTATCTGTCGTTTGTTTCCCTCCACTAAAATGCAGGGTCGTTTATATGTTATATCACAAGAGTTCCTGCCCACAAAGAGATTATACGTCAGTAAATTATTCAGTTACAGCAACCAGCTAGCTACTCTGGAAAGAAAAGGATTGGTCACGGGGAATTGGGGATATTCACAATTATTAGAAAGGCTGGAAGAGGCCTGGGCATCCGAGAATGACTCCCTAGACAACACTGCCTAACTGACCACAGTCGGGAAAGCCTATCCCCATCTCTTCTCAACAGAGAGATCAAGTGACTGGACATTGAAACACTGCTGCGGAAAACCCAAGGTCTCCACAGCTGTATTTGCCAGCAACATCAAAACAGCACCTGCAAATCTTACTCTGATGTTTGCAATTGGTGAGACCTATTTCGAATGCAGAACATTTGCAGCAAGGGTGTCTGGAGCATGTGGTTTGGAGTTTTCCAGCTTCTGAAGCACAGAAAGACATTCTAAAAAGAGAATGGATGTTACTGGGGGGTGACCTGCTGAGTTCACCACATTTTTCATTCGGAAAGCAAGACAAATGCATGATCCAAATATAGAGACATATAAGAATATCAAAAGGAGGGTCATTCCTAAACTCCTTTATGAAATGGGGCAATCAATAAACACATTCATTGATTCACTTTTAAATCAATTGGGTGATATATGCAGAAAGTCGAATACGGGCTAAAAATTGGTTGATGATAACAGGAAAAATACCTCAAATATCATTATTTCTATAAAGGTTCTCTCAACCAACACCTCTAGTGGAAGATTAAAAACTTTGTAAGCAAATCGATGGAAAGCAATTCTAAACCTCCCTCCTCAAAACCTTCTAATTTTTGTAACCAGTTTAAAGTGTTACTATACCAATATACCATTTTATTATACCAGTAGTGACAATTTTTTAATGGGTGGCAAGTATTATCATTATTAGCATTTATTTTTTTAAGATTTTATTCATTTGACAGAGAGAGAGCGCGTGCACAAGCAGGGGGAGTGGCAGGCAGAGGGAGAGGGAGAAGCAGGCTCCCCGCTGAGCAGGGAGCCCCATGTGGGGCTCCATCCCAGGCAGCCGTTTAACAGACTAAGCCACCCAGGCACCCCTATTATTAGCATTTTACATATGTGAAGACTGTGGAATCAAAGTGGACAAATGTCCTAGTGAAAATTTCACAGCTAATATATGCCAAACCTGAATTCTAACCAGGTCCTTCCAATTTCAAGCCCTTTCCAATACCCAGTTTACCACACGGCCATGTATGGTGAAGAGTCTGTTGTTCTAACGACAGCCAAAATATTGACAAATCATTCTGGTGCCACCTCCCACTTGATACTCCTGAGTTCCTAGTACCTCTTCACTCTCTACCTCTTTTTTTCTTTTCTCTTCTCTGGAACTGCTTTCCTTTCCTGGGAAAGATTTATCTTTTGTATGTGGACAGGTATTAGCAACATTCTCTGCCTTCATCCAGATAAAGTGCAGACCTTTTGCGATACTAGCAATAGCTGAGGTTACAGACTTTGCGGTGTAATTTTTCCAAGTATAAACTTTGATAATTTTCAAACATATACTAAAGTTGAAACATACGGCACAAAGCACACCCATATAAAACTACCTAGCTTAAAACACTTCCTAATGACATGTTCTATTTGGAAAGGCTTGAGATCTTCTGGAAACTAGAAGGAGACATTGATGATGAGTCCAGGGAGCCAACAGTGAGTTCCATGAGAGTTCACAGGAGAGAAGAAAAGAGTGTAAGAGGCAGCAAGAGAAGAGTTAGTGCAGGAGCGGAGGGGCATGGAGTCCAGATGGTGAGCAACCTAAGAGGTTGGCTATTAAGGATCTGACTGAAAGCCCCTGATCATTAAATTCCTCTTCCAATGGCAAATTTAGATGAGCATTCATGTTGCCCCCGAAGCAACTAGGCTGACTGATTGACTAGCCAACTGCCCTCAGTCAGCTCATTGCAGGATCACTGCCCCACTAATTACCATACAATGATACTTCTGAGCAGCACGCCAGAGGTTCAGCTTCACTAATATAAATATCTAAGGACAGCAGCCTAAAAAGTCAAACATAGATCAGAATCACTATCACAGATGATTACTCCTCCGCTCTGTTTATTCCCTGTCTGTAGGCTGGAAATGTGCCCCCGCAGAGGATTAAGCACCTGTTACCCAGTGGTAACAAATCTATTTTCAGGAAGGACAGATATTTTCCTTTTTCTCTTTCCCCTACTGTGTTTAGTTGTGTCAAGTTGTATACCCATTGTTAGTTTGCAAAATAAAGAGTCAAAAAGAACAAATGTAGTATTTTTCTGTCTTTCAATTTGGTCTTTTAGTTCTGCAGATTTCAAAACAAAAATCAAAGGAGTCAGACATTTTCAGTTCTTCCTGTTTCATGAATGTGGAAATTAAGCCATGGGGAAAAAGAGATTCTTTTCAAGCATACTTGAAACAGTTACAGAAATAGATCATGACTTAAATTACAAAGAAACTTCGATAAATTCCAAAAAATCAACAGCATACAAACTATGTACTCCACCATTTCACAATAAAATTAGAAACCTTAACAAAAAGATACCTTCAATAAATCCCATAAGCTTAGGGGCGCCTGGGTGGCTCAGTCGGTTAAGCGACTGCCTTCGGCTCAGGTCATGATCCCAGGGTGCTGGGATCGAGCCCCACATCGGGCTCCCTGCTCAGCAGAAAGCCTGCCTCTCCCTTTCCCTCTGCCTGCCCCTCTGCCTACCTGTGCTCTCTCTCTCTTTCTGTCAAATAAATAAATAAATAAATAGTAAATAAAATTTAAAAAAATTAAATAAATAAATCCCATAAGCTTAGAAACTAAATGAAATAACTCTTAGGGGGCGCCTGGGTGGCTCAGTTGGTTAAGCGTCTGCCTTCAGCTCAGGTCATGATCCCAGGGTCCTGGGATCCAGCCTCACATCGGGCTCCCTGCTCGGTGGGGACTCTACTTCTCCTTCTCCCTCTCCTTCTGCATCTCCCCCTGCTTGTGCTCTCTCTCTCTCTCTCTTTCTTTCTGTCAAATAAATAAAAAATAAAATCTTAAAAAATATAAGAATAGGGGACCAACGTAGGCCTCAGGCAGTTTGAACAGTTTAACTCCAAACATGGATATCAGACCAAATCATACAATTTACATCAACAATATGAATGACAAAATTAAAAAAGAAGAGTTGAAGAGATCGCTGTATGCCCTGTTTTCTCAGTTTGGCCACGTTGTAGATATTGTAGCTTTAAAGACCATGAAGATGAGGGGGCAAGCCTTTGTTATTTTTAAGGAACTGGGCTCATCCACAAATGCCTTGAGACAGTTACAAGGATTTCCGTTTTATGGTAAACCAATGCGAATCCAGTATGCAAAAACAGATTCGGATATAATATCTAAAATGCGTGGCACTTTTGCTGACAAAGAAAAGAAGAAGGAAAAGAAAAAAGCAAAAACTGTGGAACAGACTGCGACCACTGCAAACAAAAAACCTGGTCAGGGAACACCAAATGCAGCAAATACCCAAGGAAATTCAACACCAAATCCTCAGGTCCCTGATTACCCTCCAAACTATATTTTATTCCTCAATAATTTACCAGAAGAGACGAATGAGATGATGTGATCCGTGCTGTTTAATCAGTTTCCTGGCTTCAAGGAAGTACGTTTGGTACCTGGGAGGCATGACGTTGCTTTTGTTGAATTCGAAAATGATGGACAGGCTGGAGCTGCCAGGGATGCTTTACAGGGATTTAAAATCACACCGTCACATGCCATGAAGATCACCTATGCCAAGAAATAACATATGGGAGAGTTGTCTTTAAAGCACTTGGTGTTATTTATAGTGTTTGTTTTGATAACATTTGGTCAGGCCATTTTTTAATAGTTGGGATGAGGGGGAGTGAAAGTGAAATTTTTGTGAATGATTTAAAAAAAACCTAGTCTTTGTTTAGCCTTCGTGAACTATGAAATATGAAGGACTCAATTTTGTGTAATAAACTTTTATTTGTATTCTTTAAAAAATATATATATAAAAATAAAAAATAAAATAACTCTTGGGCGCCTGGGTGGCTCAGATGGTTAAGCGTCTGCCTTTGGCTCAGGTCATGATCCCAGGGTCCTGGGATCGAGTCCCGCATCGGGCTCCCTGCTCCTTGGGAGCCTGCTTCTCCCTCTGCTTCTCTCTCTCTCTCTCTCTCCCTCTGTCTCTCATGAATAAATAAATAAAATCTTTAAAAAAAAGATAACTCTTAAACTCTTGATTTAAAAAAAAAAAAGCCACACACTTCTATTGGCACAGCCATATAGAAAACAGTATGGAGAGTCATAAAAAAATTAAAAGTAGATCTGTCATATGCAGCAATCGGTATTTACTCAAAGGTGTTGAAAACATGTTCATACAAAAACCTGACATGAATATTGATAGCAGCTTTATTCATAATTGCCAAATTTGGAAGCAACCAAGATGTCCTTCAGTA